ATTATGGCTGCCAGTGACCCTTTCATGTCTGGTCACTTGTGTATCATCTCACATTGGACATTTTCCTTGAGACACTGTCTCCACAGACCTGGGTGGCAATTTTGGCAGCTAAATCATTGTGATAAGATCAGAATGCTACCCGTTTTAAATTTTAAACCGGCTCAGGTAAGATGTTTTAATTGTGAATGCAATAAGCTCCATATTTTGTGCATTTTGGTTGGCTAAATATCACTGTTTTGTGGATTTTGGATGTTATTGCACAATGAATTTAAAGGGAATGGGTAAAAACTGATGTATGAGTAATCAAAGCCCAGTTCTGAAAAGCAATGGACAATTAATTCAACTGGAATTATTCCCCAACTGGTATCTATTTCCCAACATTTGTTACACAACAAAGCATACGTTTTATGAAAAAAAAAATTGCAGATTTGTAAAGCTTGTAGCACGTTTCAGAGAAATAAAGAAAACAGTTACCATGCACTATGACTGCATGACTACACAATGTCTACAAATTCTTCTGATGAAAAATATGCACAAATATGCATTAGTCAATGTGGGAAATGCATGTGATCATGTGATCATTGGGGAAACTGAGTACCCCCAAATATTATTCATAGAAATTTCTATGTTAAAGAATCTTGCAGCACCTTTGATGCTAACTGTGCAAAAGAAGTTGTAGCATAAGCTTTTGTAGACTTGGTCTACTTCCTCAGATGCATGGAATGAACTGTTGCCCAGGAAGTACCCTTATAATCAGACTATATGAATAGCCATAGAAATGCAAAACTTGTGGGTATGGTGATGAGGTGACAAGTTCAGCTTCAACAGTGACCATTGAGGGATAAAGGCAAGATGAAAGATGTAATGTAAGGCCAGCATGGATGGATGACTATATTAATGGTGGAGGGAGTTTTGGAGGGTGATATGTTGACAGTGGGAAACAGAAAGGAATGATCTCCAACATGACTGAAACCCTGTTGGTTAGTCCACAAGAAAGTAGACCTATTGACTCGGTTGTTGAATGGTGAGTCGACACATAGATAAAGCTATTTGATTCAATGGCTCTACTCTAGTTGGGATTAACAATAAGATGCAAGCCTGTGTAAAATGGTTCCATTTGTGGAACTCCACTTATACAACCAACAATTGAATGCATCCATTGTGAAACAGCCAAAACAGCACAACCACAACTGTAATTGAACTTACGCACATATGTCACACCAACTTGTATTTGTATTTGTATTTGTTCTGGATGACAAAGCAGTTGAAGGAGCTGGGCATGTTCAGTCTGGTGAAGACTGGGGGGGGGGGTGACAAGATGGCACTCTTTTAATACTCAAGGGCTGTGACAGAGAAGGCAGGCCTTTATTTCTTGCCTCAAAGGGTAGAACCCGGTCTAATGGTCTGATGTTATAGGACGGTAGATTTCAATTGAATATTAGAAGGAATTAATGTTCCTCTCAATTGACAGGGAGAGAGATCTGGCAATGGAAACAATTGCCTAGAGAGATTGTGGAGTCTCCTTCTCTGGACGTCTTCAAAGAAAAGCTAGAAAGTTGCTTGCTGGGGGTGCTTTAGCTGAAAATCCAGCATAGAGAAGCAGATTGAAGTTGATGATCCATGAGGGCTCTTCCAATGCTATGATTCTATGACTCTATTGTGAACGTGAGCTACCACCTTCATTTAAGGCAGACATTTTCTTTCACTGCAGTGAATTGGTAGCCAGAGAAAGACACTGGTGTTTGTTTAAAGTAAGGAGGTGTGTGTGTGTATGTGTGTCTGTGTGTGATGAAAGCAGTTTTTAGTATTTCAAGTCCATGGCATACTGCAAATGGGCTCTTTGCCAAATGGGAATTGAAACGAGTCTACGTATTACACTATTTGCCTTAGAAGAAATTAATTTTCAGCCAGAAGCAGATAGGCTTATTTAATATTTATCTTTAGCTGCAGGAAGATGAATCTATTATTTTATAAGTTTATTTTGAGGGTGTTTTTTCCTTCTCTCTCTCTCTCTCTCTCCTCCCCCCCTTCTTTCATTCCCTTTTTTTCAGATATGGGGTTTCCAGATGTAAGATTCCTGCAGGAGGCGCTGAAATATTCTTACCTGGACTAGAGTAGGGTTAAGAAATCTAAAATATGTCAGTAACATCAGCTCCAGCCATGATTAAACAATCATAAAATTCCACTCATATTTTTAAAAAAAGAATCTGTACTTGATTGAAGTCTTCAAGGTGATCAGCAGTTTAAAGAGTTGGGTTGGTGAGAATAGAAGGATGGTGAAATAGTACTATCACCCTGCTGTTCCCAGTGCTATAAGCTAAATAGTTAATATATTTACAGCATAGAAATTAAGCAAAGAATAATAATATATATCTGTGTGTCTGATTTAGTAGCAGTTGAAGCAGAAAATTCATGATAAAGTTCATGCAAAAGAGAATGCTAGGAATACTAGTGGTCTTTTCACCTAGCAGATAATGAATAGTCCAGTTATCTGTCGTGAGTAAATGACAGAGGAGTTACTTGTGAGCATGATATCAACATTTTTCCTTGCTGTACATTCAGTCTGAAATTCCAAAAGAATATCTGTCAGTTTCATTTTTGTTGTTGTTGCATTTCTCAGAATCTCACTGCCTTCCACACCAAGTTGTGAGAGTTTCCTTAAAAAAAAAATCATGCATATTGGGGCATACATTTTCTTGAAATAAATATCTTTTTTTCTCTTTTTGATATGCATTTCTTACAATGTATGGATTTTGAAGCAGACTATTCAAGTAAGCATCCTGCAACAAAAAAACAAGCAACATCTTCCAAAGACTAGGTTATTGTTATATGCTTTCAAGTTGACTCCAATGCATGGAAATGCTATACTAGTGTTCTCTTGGCAAGATTTGCTCAGAAGGGGTTTACTATTGCCTTCCTTTGAGGTTGAGAGTGTGTGACTTGTCCAACATCACCAGTAAGTGTCTATGTCTGAGCAGGGATTTGAACCCTGGTCTTTCAGAGTCCTAGTTTATCACTCAGACCACTACATCACACTGGCACCAAAAACAAACAAACAAACCAATTGGTGACTAATCAATTTTATTTATCATGATTTTTCATGGGCTGAAGCCAACTTCAATTTTATTCTGTGAATTTTCTGCATTGACTAAAACATCTATATGCATTTTTTCTCAATTGTTCAGTGCATTTCTTCCAAATCCTCCCTTACATAGTATTCAGAGTCTTTTTCTTCAGCAAAATGCATTTCTAGCCATGGAAATATACGCATTTCTGAGATAAAAATACACTTCATACCACTGCCTGTCTCAGAGGGTGCAAAAAGAGTATTTTTATTGAAAACTGCAAATCTAGTATGTTTATTTTCTGCATAAGATTATATCAACATAGTGAACAGCCCCCTGCTCTCTGTGCATGCCTAGAAATCTGTGAGCAACTTGATTCTTCAGGAACCATTGATTGTGTCTGAAGCTGGACTTCCTGAAACAAGGAGCAGAGCCTTTTTATGGTGGTCCTTGTTCTTTAGAATTTCCTCCTATTGGAAATTCACCAGACATAATTCCCTTCTATTTTGGGAAGATACAGGTATCAAAATACCCTTCCCCCCTGTGCCTTCATCTCTTTGAAAGTAATATTGCTCTTAGACCCGAAAAAACTAAAGGTCTGTTCAAACTATTTAAAAAAGATATTGCTCTACAAAACAAGCCTCACTTCCCAGCCCCTGGGATTTCCTGGAAAAGTGTTTTCAACCCACATGGACTTCTCCCAACTAGCAGGGAGAAGGAGGAGGATAGAGGAAACTGGGTAGGCAACTTAGCCTTTCAGATTTCATCATGCTACAGTTGTTGCTGTTGCGTGCCTTCAAGTTATTTTTGACTTACGGTGACCCTAAGGCAAACCTGGCAAAAGTTGTTCAGAGGTAGTTTGCCATTGGAGATTACCACCCGAGGCACTAGTGATGCAATTGAAATGGAATTACAATTGATGATTCCTCTCTTTTTTGCATGACATTGTCACTCATCCATCACTGATGTGTTGCTATTCCGTGTTATACCATTATTATCATAATTTCTCATTAATGAGAGATACCTGTAAATGCAAAATTGTGTGATATTAATGGTATAACAATGGATCAGCAATGGATGAGTGATGACATCGTGCAAAAAGTAGAGCAATTATAGGTTGTAATTCCACTTCAATTCCAACACTAGTGCCTCATGCGGTAATCTCATTTGCCTTTGTCTAAGACTCTGATAGTGTGATCAATGCGTCCCTCAGGGAAGGCAGTATACCATCTAGTTTAAAAGA